TATGGAGGAAGTGAATTACTGAAAATCCTTCAGAATATTATGATTCAGACCTGGACTGATGAAGTAATGCCAGAATTTTGGAATAAATCAATAATATGTCCAATCCATAAAAAGGGTGATCGGCTAGTCTGCAGTAATTATAGAGATATCTCCTTACTTTCTTGTGCGTACAAAGTGTTGTCCAACATTCTGTTTCAACGACTACTCTCCTACGCAGAAAAGATCTTAGACCTGTACCAGTGTGAGTTTCAGAAAGGACGACCTACCATTGACCAGATATTTTGCTTGTGTATCATGCTTGAAAAAGAATGTGAATATAAGATTAAAACATATCATCTTTTTGTTGATTTTAAAGAAGCATATGATAGTGTTCATAGGGAACAGTTTTAGGAGGCAATGGGAGAGCTTGGAATCCCTGAAAAGCTTATTAGAATGGTAAGACTCACTATGAAAAAGTGAGATGCATGGTGTAAGTTGGAGGAGCAAGATCGGCAGAATTCACTTCTGGAAAAGGACTTAGGCAGGGAGTTGAACTGGCATGTCTTCTCTTTGATTAAGCTTTATAGAAGTCCATTATAGATTCTGGTATTCAAGTGGGCGGAACAGTGTTCAGCGAGACAATGCAATTTCTTGCTTATGCAATGATGATATCGACATTGCTGGACACTCTTTCCAGGCAGCCTCTGATGGATTCTTAAAACTAGTGGAAGCAGCAAGAAAAATGGGCCTTAAAGTCAATGATGCAAAAACCAAATATATGGTCACTGAGGAAAATCCCAGACCGGGCCAAAGGATTACCATTGGAGAATTCTCCATTGAAAAATGGAATATCAGAATTGATTTATCTCGGATCCCTCATAACTCATGATAATGTTGTGGATTCTGAAATCAAGCGAAGAGTGCTATTTGCCAATCATTTTTATTATGGCCTCAGTCCATATTTTAGGAACCGTGCTTTAACCAGAGGAACAAAAATCCTATTGTATAAAACAATTATCCGACCAATACTCCTTTATGGCTCAGAAACATGGAATATCTCTAAACTGATGAGCAGAATCCAATGGTCTTTGAAAGGAAGATTTTACGTAAAATCTTTGGAGCTGTGAAAGTTGACCAAATATGGAGACTTCGGACAAACCAGGAGCTCAAATCTTTGGGCTGGGCACACTATTTGAATGACTGAGAACACACATTCCGAAAATGATCATGACAGAAGTAATGCACAGAATAAGGCGTAGAGAAAGACCTCGGCTTCGGTGGAGTGACGGAGTGGCTAGTGATATCAGGTCCATGTTGGGAGTGAGAAGTTGGATGGCAGCTGCACAGGATAGGAACAATTGGTGGAGACTGGTACACGAGGCCAAGACTTGATATTGAGTTGTCGTGCCGACTGAATAGAATAGAATAGTAAGGAATTACAACTTGCTTTTTCTGATAAAAATACTAAGTCTCAAGCATATCCAACAATTTAACACAACTTATATTTAGCCCTGTGTGTAGTTAGACCATTGCTCTCTTAATTAGGACATGCCTAAAGGTTGAAACATACTAGCAGGACAGGATAATTAATAATATTTAACTTATAGGCAATGCAATTTTAGTTATTATTTTACTTCTGAAATATTATGTTTACAATTTTTTTAAAGCTTGTTTTAATGTACACCAACTTGTGAAGTTTCACACTTCAGTTCTTCATTTATTTTAATGAACAGCGTTTTAGCCCCATGTTGGGGGTCGGGGATGGATTGGAACTATTATAATAGGTTCGTTGAAATGTTTTAGGAAACAAGTTCTAAGGAATTTTTTAAAATAAAGTCACACAAAAACAAAAACTGTATGATTTAGCGATTTGCCTATCTCTGCCACCTCCCTTGTAGAGCACTCACAAATCTGCGCACACGCACACGCACACTTTTGCAGGACTTGGTTATTTGGACTCAGGAGACCTCAAAACATGTATTTCCGTTGAAAACTCTCACTCTAGGTTAGAAAATTTTCATGATTGAAATACTCTCCCTTACTATACATTTCATTTATATGTAAGTGAAAGTCAAAAAATATATATATTTATACATTTTTAAAAATCTGCTAAAAATCTTCTTCTAAAAGTTTGTCTTTTTAAATAAACTGCTAAAAATCTTCGGTACACCAAATAGTAAAATATAATTTGAAATCTTTATAACAGTATGTAAGCCATTTTGTACAAATTTAGAGATTTGAATTATACAAGAAGAAAATGTGAATTTTTCTTTGTTCCCTTCAAGTTGGGATTCTAAAGATAATGGCTAAAAATCCCTTGGAACAGATCAGTCAAAAGAGTGGTGCTGATCATGAATAAATTGAAATCATGTAGATGGGGAAAATAAAATGCTAACCAGCAAAATACTTATAAGGTATGTAGAAAATGTTCTAATTCAATCTATGATTAGTTTTATCATAAATTATTGCATTCAACGTACCCCCCACTTTCCACTATTATTCTTATCCCAAAACCAGGTCACTCTACCAACAGCTTAACATCCTTCCTATAGACCAATTAGCCTACTCCCAATCCTTTCAAAAATCTTTTAAAAGATCCATTTGAAACGAATCCTTCCCATCTTAGAATCCCAAAATCTTCTCTCCCATCAGTTTGGTTTTCGTTCAAAACACTCAAAAAACACTGTTCAACAAGGACTCTGGGTCATTGATCATATATCAGCAGCCCTAGTAAAGAAGCAATACTGTTTGGGTATATTACTGGACATAGCACAGGCTTTTGACTGAGTATGGCTGATATCCCTGCTTATTATCTTGGTATGATATCCTTGCAACATTTACTGATAATACCACAATCCTATCATCCAACTCAGATCTTGAAAGAGCATCTTTAAATCTACAAAGACACCTCTCCCTAATTGGACGCTGGTGCAATAAATGATGTATTAAAGTAAGTGAATCAAAATGTAAACATATTACCTTTAGGCTCCGGCACAATTTTTGTCCACCGGTGCACTTTAATTCCAACCAGCTTTCTTAGTCAGATACAGTCCATTATTTTGGCTTTCTCTTAGACTGAGGACCAACATGGAGCCCACATACTAGATTTAAAAGAAAGGAACTCAACCGACGATATGGCTAGCTATATAAACTACTGAACGGAAAATATCAACTTTCAATTGACAATAAATTACTGATTTCCAAGACAATACTGAAATCTATTTGGACCTATGGATTGTAACTGTGGAGGACAGCAAAATTTTTTAACAACACATTAAATCCTTTCATCAGCCCAAAGTCATTCAAACAATAGTTGGTACTCTATTTTATATAACCAACAGAACCCTACACCATGACCTCAGTATCCCAATAGTCCTACACCTTATTCCAGAAAATTTTTCCGAACTCTATAAAAAACTTATATATCATCCAAATCCACTAGTATAGTTCCTATCTACCCATCCATCCTTACAATCCTCCTCAAAGGTTGAAGCGACAGTGACCCAAAGACCTTTTGTAAATAAGCATATATAGTAGTTCTGACAAGAGCTAGATTCTTAACTCAAGCCGTGTATGTATGCTTATAGCACCTCCCCTCAGCTTCCACTTTAATTAATTAAAGCCATTTAATTAATTATAATTAAGTAATTAAATAATTAAAGATTAAACCATCCCCATTCATCTCACAATAAAAACAAAAACTAGAGAATTGGACACCTGGCAAAATGCATATTTAAACATAAAACATAATATAAATGAAATATTTTTATTGGAAAAATAACTGTGAGAAAGAATTAGAATGGCAAATGACAAGACATTAACAATGACAATAAAAATTAACTGAAGAACATTAAAACTGAAGGTAGATGTAAATCAGGTTTTATTCAGTTTGATAGAAACCTCGTGCAGTTAGCTATCCATAAAAAATAAATATATATAGCTTGGAAAAGATTTACTGAACTATATCATATTATAGGAGTGAAATAGATCAAACCTACGTGACAAAATAATCATTTTTGTGTTGGCAACTGATCCTATGATTTCTCATAAAACTTAACAGCTCATATAACTATGGTTTAATGGCTCTAACGTAATTAATAATAGCATTAACAGAAAACTTATTCACTGTCAAAGTTGTCTAACTCATAACTTATGTAAAGAAACACATGAGGAAATTAGATTTTGACAATCTGAATTTAAATTTATAAATGAAAATGAATTGGTTCCTGAGATAACAATAATTGAACCCCAACATGAAAGTGCATAGTTTAAATCGGTATCAGTTACACACTGAAGCCATCTCCTTGGGACATGATTTCGTTTGGAGGAATCACCCATTTACAAAATATTCTTCAATATGTTTGAAGTGAAAAATGATTATGTGTTCAAATGGAAAGATATCAGATATCTTAGAATTTCAACAAAAACTATCATAAGAATTTCAACACATTTTTGGACTTCTTTTTATCACACAAGTCTAAAAAAAAAATACATGGGATTTATGAATTTTGATTTTTTTATATTATAATTAGTGCATTATTAAGTAGACCTTTAGGTGCTGTTTTATTTTTTCATTTTCTCAATATGACTATTATTAAAATATAATTCTAAGCTTCATAATTATTTAAAATCATAACTAGTGTTTTTTAATAAAAAAAAAAAAAAAAAATTGAGTATTGGTCCATCAGTTGGAAACATAACAATTTTGTTTAATAGATTTTTTGCAAGTAATATAACCCATAGACAAGTTAATAATTAGAAAAAATACCAGAAGTTGTGATTTTCTCCAAGTGGAAACAATAATTGGTGCTTACATCATTATTAAATGTCTAATATGACCTTAACACTTAGGATACATAGGTTTATGCAATTATTTATTACTAGAAGGGTTTGGAGGTTAGTTGTCTCCATATACTTTCGGACATTTGGCTAGTTTCAATATTCTGTGAACAAAGTGATCTAGGTACACCTATCAACAAAACGTGATACAGCTATAGATTCACCTAATTAAAAAAACTTACCTGATGTACATGCTGTGGCAAAAGAATCGCTGAAAAATCAAAGCTTTGAGAACCAAGCGCTACAAATTTTGCAGGTGTATCATTTCTACTAATGTTAAAATTTGTTTCCACAATCTTTAGCATATGATTATTGGGTTCCTTGACAGTTGCACAGTATCGTGGCTGATTCCAAGTAGAACATAATGCTTCAGTAAAATCCGAGTCACCTTCACACTCCATCTGCAGATAATATAATAAATTACCTCCAAGAAATCATCTCCTAAAAGTCAAATACTTTAAGTTGTAATACATACTCACACTACAGGTAATATTATTATTCCCCAAACTTTTTAATTTTTCAGGGTCACAAACATTATTACTCAAAGAACTTGAACACATTTTCACAACAGATTCTAAATCACAATGTAGTTCTACACTATTATTCGAAGGCAATGATGGTATCCAAGGTATGAGAACTAATGCAGACATGGTCAAGAAAATAAAGCTCAAGAACATTCCTTTTTGCCAGTGCAACTTGTCAGCCAATGCCCCCATGGTAGGTTTAGCAATTAAACCAAGTATAGGTAAAAGGGTATAGACCATTCCAACAACAACTGATGAAAAACCTAAGTCTTTGGCTAATGTAGGAAGGAAAGGAATCACTAATCCAGTCCCTGAAAAATATTAAGATTTGTCAATAAATTTAAGACAAAAATTATTTAAGGATAAATAAATAATAATTAACTAACCAGCATTAAATAGAAAGTAATGGCCTTTCATAGGCAGGAGATTCTTGTCAATCTTCATGATTTGCCAATAATGACAGGACACTTATCACAAAAAAAAGATAGCTAATTTGAAAGTTAATAGCAGCTTTCAAACTCAAATTTTAAACTAAAACACAATTTTAAAATTTTAGTGAACGGTGCACATTAAAGTTTCTGTGTTCAATAAACTTATATCAATCAATTTCATTGCCGGTTTTTAAATTCACCACTACATTTAAACCCGTGCTCCTACGGTTGAGCTGAAGGCTATACTTAAAATGACCGAACGAACATTCTCACGTTATCACCAAGTATATATATCGATATTTATTAAATCGATATCTCGAAGAGCTTGGCAATCATTCGGCTTAATGGAGCAGATGCTCTAACTGGGTAAAAGAACTGTACACGTTTTATTTTTAAGTCCTCGCAATTATAAAAAATCCGACCTTTTAAAAAATGAACCGTTGATCTAAACAAACCATAATCTGATGCTGCAATATCGGGGTTACACGCAGGACGAGGCAAAACTTTTACTGCTTGCTGGTCCCATAATTTTTTCTTGGTCAAAAGAGAAAGATGTGCAAGGGGATCGTCGCGTTGCTAAATGACTTAGCTGCTGTTGACCAAAGTGGGGTACTTTTCGCTCAAGCTGCATAAACTCTGTCTTGCTGTTCATAACATAGGTTTGAGTCCACTGCCCGACAATCAGAAATAAGTTTTAAAAGCAAATTGCCTTCGTGGTAGAGGTCCCTTTTTATCAAATTAAATTTCGCGAATAGCTTCAGCTCATCGTAACACACAAATATTTTATTTATAGAAATTCACGGAATTGGGGTGTTTTCAATATGGAGGTCAGTAAACTCTGTTTATTTATTTAGGTTCTAAAAACTCATTAATAGCCATTTTATATAGTATGGTTTAATCGTTATTTGGACATTTTGGGTATGGAAATCACGCCAAACGGACCAGTATTTTTGTAGGCCACCTTTTTTTTTTTCAATTTTGTGATCATATTATCTTAAGATTCAAGTGGAAAGTAAATGATTATTAATGAGTTTTTTTTATCTAATTAAATTGTCAAAGTGTGCCAGTATCCGTATTGAAAACGCCCCAATTCCAAGAATTATCGTTAATAAAATATTTGTTGGAATTCTTTTTTTTTTCATTTTCTTTTTTTCCTTAAGATTTTATTTTATTTAAGATTTTTTAAGATGAGATGAAGCTATTTACGAAGTTTTAAACGGATGTTAATAATTTGATAAAAATGAGTCTGTACCACGGCCTATCCACCAAACACAAAGCATTACTTTATTCTCACACCGATCTTGGCAAATCTCTGGTTAGGGGTTATGCAGCTACAATGAGCTGTACCCACGGCTTATGTTTGCTAGTTTTTTTTTATATACATTTATCGTCACTTGTGATAATTTTTTTGCAGAAGCTGCCATCTATCGGATTTTGAATCAAAAGTTTGCAAATATCAGCTATTTCTGTCATGTATGTTAATTATTCATTCATGAACTTTTATATTTATTTATTTCTCCAAAATATATTGTGGATCGCATGCCGCAAAGTTTCATATGAAGCGACACGTGTTCTGCCATCAATTGAACTGATTGTAGAAAAGAGGATGCTCTCATACCACTAGATCCTCTTTTCTACAATCAGCTCAATTGATGGCCAGAACACGTGTCGCTTCATATAAAAGAGGATGCTCTCATACCATTAGATGGGGGTAGTGTGATCTCGTCCTCGTCGTGCCCCTGGATAACCAAACAAACGATCACATAGTCGCCAGACTCCCAGTGTCACCAATAGCGACTTATGGCGCGGCCAGCACAAAGCCTGGCCAACGCAAACGGCCTTTCTCAAGGCCTTAACAACTTTATCTTAAAGACTCGTTTTTGGAATGCCGGTGGTACCAGCGAAAAGTACACAGAATTGAAGCATTTTATATCCTCAAATAAAATTGATCTATTTTGCATTGTTGAGACAGGCGCTGCTACTGATTGTCTTGAATACTTCAGGTATCCAGATTTCCAAATTTACTCACTGCCAAGAGCTAGGCAGATAGCATCAGGAATACTTGTTGGTGTAAGGTCTTTCTTCACGGTCAAGTTTCAAGTTAAAAAGGAAATGGATGCAAATGATAGATTGGAAATCAATCTGTGGTCAAACAATTTCCACCACCAAATATTTGTCATCTATAACCCCCCTAATAATGAACCGAATTTGGATTGGCTGGAGGATTCTTTGACGGACAAATCCCTTGTGTATGGAGACTTCAACGCGCACTCCAGGCGCTGGGGTTACACAAACTCAAATTCAGCGGGGAAAACTCTGGAAGAATTTATCGATACAAATATGATTGAATTTGTGGAAAACGAAAATTCAAAGCCCACTTTTATGGACTACAAAGGTAATAGTTCCCACCCTGACCTATTATTGGTGCACCCACGAATAGCTCCGCTGATCTCCCACACAGTTTCCTCTCCACCTGGAGCATTTGGTCACAGGATAATGCTTGCCTATCTTAATGGCAATTTAAAGTCTTATAATGATTCAGTGCCTCGAATGCTCCGATTGAATTTGAAAAAAGCCAATTGGAATAAATTCTCTCAGCTCACTCGCACAGCCATTACGGATAAAACCATTACGGAAAATGTAGATATAAGCTGCGCCCGACTTCAAGCGGCAATTCTCGAGTGTGCAAAGCAGTCCATTCCTCGGGGATTTATGAAAAGATACTCCCCATTCCGGAGTGACAAACTACAGAAACTAAAAGATAGTAGAGATGCAGCAAGAAAAGATGTAGAAATGTCAAAGAAACCGGAAGATATAGTAAGGCTAAAACAACTTACAGCAACCCTTAAGTACAATATAATTCAAGCCAAAAGAAAAGCTTTCAGAGAATATTTGGCCAACCTGGATTTTCGAAGAGATGGAGTAAAAGCAGATAGATTCATCTCAAAACTAAATGGCGGCAAAGACCCAAGGAACAACCCTCTGAAGTTCAATAACAAAGAGATATATACCGGACTTGCCATAGCAAGAAACTTTTGTAAATTCTTTGCAAAGGCCTCTAATTATAAGCCAGCAGTAGGAAATAAGAAAATTAATACCAAACCACAAATCCTATGTCTGAATTCCTCTGAAGCCCAACTCTTTGAAGACGACTTCTGTAAGGAAGAGCTTGAACTTGCACTGGCACAAACAAAGAAGGGAAAAAGCGGTGGCCCTGATGACATATTACCAGAGTTTCTAATTCACCTGGATGCAAAAGCCAAGCTCATTGTACTAGATTTTCTCAATGCTGTGTGGAGGTCGAAATATCCTAGTGCTTGGAGGAAGGCTGAGGTTGTCCCAATTCTCAAGAAAGGTAAATGTTCTTCTTGCCCATCTAACTACCGATCTATATCGCTCACAAGTGTTTTTTCTAAGCTCTACGAGAGAATGATCCTAGCCCGATTGCAGATATATCTAGATAGAGAAAACAAGATGTCATCAAAGCAAGCAGGTTTCCGGAAGCACCGATGTACAACTGAGCAGGTGGCTCGTTTTAGTGAGGATGTAAAAGACGGATTCCAACGCAAACAACATACTCTTGCAGTATATGTTGATTTTAAAGCTGCTTTTGATAGAGTCTGCCGGAAAGTACTTCTGAATAAACTCCTCAAAATGAACATCAGTGGACAAATGTACCGAGCCATACGTTCCTTCTTGGCCCAGAGGTTTCTCAGAGTAAGATACAATGGCTGGTGCTCAGGCTTCAGAACATTTAGTCAAGGAGTTCCACAAGGATCTGTTTTAAGCCCCACACTCTTTAATATAATGATTGATGACTTAATGGCTGTACTCGAGGGAATACCCGGAATATCTGCTCTACTGTTCGCTGATGATCTACTAGTATACGCGACTAGTAGCAACATAACAGCACTCGAAGCAGCAATTAATGAGGCAATGGCAAGACTTTTTACCTGGGCCATAGTGTAATGAAATGGAAGTAAATATGCAGAAAACTGAATTCCAACTGTTCACCTTATAAACAAAAGAGTGCGAGCTGGAAATCATCTACAATAATGTTCCTTTACCAAGAACCTATGTAGGCAAATATCTGGGAGTTAGGTTAGATACAAAAATGATCTGGAACAGACAAATTGAAGAGATGGTGGAAAAGGCGGAAAACGTCTGAAACGCCTTGGAGGAAAGACATGGGGGGCCACCCAGGATGTGATGGGTCTTGCATATAAAACCTATGTACGCCCAGTACTGGAATACGGTTCTGAAGTCATCTGTACCGCGGCTGATGCATCCCTGAAAAGATTAGAAAAGATTTGGGTGCACCGCGCTCAACCCCTATTGTGGCTATGGAACTGCAGACCACAGTAGAACCTCTATCGAAACGGCGTGAGCGAGCTGCAATGTGCCTTCACGAGCGAATGAAAAGAATAGACCAAGAGTTTTGGAAAAAATACAAAATCCCCTCTCAACGGCTCAAGACACAAAAATCCTTCATGCTGAAGGCGATGGCACTACTTGAAGAAAGAGGGCTTGACTGCGAAGAAAGGGAACCATTTATACATCCACAGTTACCAATTCACAATCACACATTCAATGCAGAACTGCAACTCCTTCATAAAGTGGACAAGAAAAAAACACCTGAATACGAGCTAAAAGCATTAGCATTAGAAACCATAGCTCAAAAGTACCCTCCTCAAGATTGGTTCCATATCTATACCGACGGATCAGCTGAATCAGCCGTTAAAAATGCTGGAGCAGGGGTTTACTCAAGGGAATTCCAAATCAGCGCTGCGGTGGGAAAAGATGGAACAAATTTCGACGGTGAGATAGCGGCGATCCTCATAGCCTTAAGAACATTGTCTAGAAGGCGGGATCAGAGCGCTGTTCTCTTCATCGACTCCCAAGCAGCCATCCTTGCTGTCACAAGCACGAATGAATGTTTATCGAGAGCTATATTGGAATGTAAATCCCTCCTCTCTAACCTGACACACCGAGGCACCAATGTGGTCCTACAGTGGATCCCCAGCCATTGTGGGATTCCAGGTAACGTTGAGGCTGATATTCTTGCCAAGCGAGGAACAGATTTGCCTCAGCCGATATATCCAAAACTTTACGACTCAATACGGCGAATGGTGAAGATGGTAGTGAAGGAAGAAATAAGAAAAGTACATTTCGGCAAAGTGGAAGGGGAGTGTTACGAGTGGTTGAAGGATAATCCGATTCCAGCTGAGTTGCCGAGAAGAGATGCAGTTGCCTGCTTCCGCCTGGCTAC